CTTTGAGTTTTAACTATAAGAACAAAATAAAAGATAAAGTGAATAGTATCAGAATTGACTTTTTAGTGTAAAAATATAGTTTTCGTTAAAGTGAACAGTACAAGAGATTTTCGATAAAGTTTCCTAAAAAAATATCCAATGTGGTTACGAACAATATACCACATTGAAGGCCCGTGGTGGTTTAATATTTTTACAACGTGTTGACTAAGTCTGTGGTATTAGATTATTTTATCATAACAGGTCACTATTTATTCGTTGTAAAATATTATTATCCACAACGTGTTCACTAAGCCCGTGATGAATATTCACTTTTTATCACGCTCACATAAAGCCTGTGGTAGAAGTGTCGATCAGTTGTTAAGTGTTTTGTCTCTAAACTTATTCTTCAAATATATTAAATGATTTGACTTCTTGTGGTTTTTGGGGAAAGGGATCCTCTCCGGATCCTTTCTACCAAGTTCACCAAGGTTTACAAATCCGAACTTTTGAAATTTGATTCAACGGTTACAAATAAGGGTTCACTTTAAAAGTGATAATAACTTTAGCCGTTGGATCAAATTTTAAAAGCTCGAATTTATGACTTTGATAGATTTGGTGTAAGGGATCCGGAGAAAATCCCATTTCAGTTTTTGGGGACCCAATTGGATTATTATAGCTCAAATTGCAATGCTTGACTCCTTCCATCCATTGACCCAAAGGAACCTACCTCATCATTTAAGGCACAAGCTTAATTAAGAGTTTAGCTCGATTGGGTCAGGTGATCAAACCAACAGTGAAATTTATGTTCGATCTTTTGTTTGTACCTGAAGATACTATTCACCATATAATGTTATGGATAATATCTGATTTCTTGAATGTAAAGGATGTTTTTTTTCACTGACAAACCACAGTTTTTTTTTTTTTAACACGATTTTTCTTTGATAAATCACGTAAGTATATATTTTAGTCTTTAATTTGAAAGTAACAAAGAATTATTCTTTAACCATAAGAAGCTAACAATGTTCCAATATTATCGTGTTAATTCTTTGGGTTGTGAGGAGGAGGGATTCAAGAAGCTAATCGCAGAGTCTGACTCATCAACGTTGTTATGTATGTTGCGGGGTGGGAGAGAAGAGCTGATGTGGTCAGTGAGAGGGTATCATTGTTGATACTTTAGCTTCACAGTTGGAGTCATCTGAGCTTTGTATGCTCATCGACGTTGTAATGGAGCAGTGCATTTAATGATTTCTTTTGTAAGTAATGCATTTTTTTGAGTGATTATTCAATATTCATACGGAAGAGGTAAACAGTGTTATAACAATCTAACCAAAATCTCTATCGTTTGGAAAAAAATAAAAGTTGGGTTGTGCAAACTGATGCCCCACAAGACATTGAAAATGTAAGCCCTTCTTCCATACACTACTTGAAAGTGCCTAATTGCGTGAAATGTAGATCTAACATTAAATTTCAGAACTTTCTTTTTCTTATCAGCGCCTTTTTTTTTTTTTTTTTTTTTTTTTTTTTTTTTTTTTTTTTGAACCATTGGCAATTAACTCAGACAAAGAAATATATTAAAGGGCTCCTGTCCCTATTGGATTTTATCAATTAGACTCGTCCAGGCAGACTAAATGAGACCTTTTAATTTGGTTCCCAAAAGCATCAGGTCTTTGTATACTCGAATATTTGTTTTTAGTTAAAAATATAAAAGAAAAACAGAAACAATGTTTGATACATATCCCTAAACCAAGAAATAGTTGATAATATTTATCTTCTATTTTGCAGTTCTACCATTAAAGATTATACATGTTGGTGTAATGTTGGCTGAATACAAGTCTAGAACTTATGTGAAGAGAATCTCCTAATCAAAAAGTAAAACAATAATTCGAGGTTTACTTCTAATTGCACCAAGGTTTTTTGTGATAAAATCACATGTACACTTGAAGTCTATTAATATGGCTTGATATTAACCATGATATCGATTCTAAATGGCTAAATTGTGAACGATATGGATTCACAGTTGGACTTAGCAGTGGACACTTATGAAGCTCCTGGCACCGCAATATGTATCAAGCAAAGCATATAAACTCTTAATTTGTAGGTCGATAGATACTAACTTTTAGGTTTTTTAACCAAAATGACCATTCAGATTGGCATGACTCTTCACTTTGGTCTCTAAGATTTAAAATTGGTAGAAGTGGCAGCTGAGATTGTCCACCGTTAATAATTTTGGGTGTTTTGTGAAAAACTTCGTTAAATTGATATTTTTGTCAAATCAACCTTTGCACTTGAACTGGTGATTTCTTCAATTTAATGAAGATTTTTTTTACAAAAAAAAACCAAAATGATTGACGATGGACAATATCAAACACCACTTTTATCGATTTTAAATTTCAGGACCAAAGTGAGGAGTTATGACAATCTTTGAGATCATTTTGACTAAAACAACCTAACTTTTATAAAGCTCTTGACACGACTCATACTAAAAGTTAATCATCATCGTGACAAATCGAGAATTCACTTGCGAATTAAAAAAAATAATAGTACGTATGAAATGGGTTGTTATATTCATTTTAACTTGTGTACGTATATGATCCGATAATTAGTAGGCAATTTACAATCGTAAACGTATTTGAATTGAAGAAAAATAAAATATTTCTACTACTTCCCAAAAGCATCAACAAATATAATTTGTATATCGTTTTCTGGGTCAATGATACTTTTTTTGGGGTTTTTTTTTAACTTTAATCCTTCAAAAAGATTGAAATTTAAAATAAATCTAGTGTTAGATTACATATTAATTATAATTCCTTGAAGTGTCCTTAATTCAAAATAATTAATGTGCATTTTATTTAATGTCACCCATTAAATATATAAATTTATTAACATACAAATTTTAATTTATTTTTTGACCAAAAAAGAGTTTTCTAATTTATTAAATTTATTTAACATTCTTCAAACTTGAAAGATTCAATTAATGTACCTAAATGTTAGTACCGAAATGTATTATATTGATCTAATGTGTTTAAATGTTAGTACCAAAATGTATGTACCTAAATATATGCACTAAAATGTAATATATTAAATTAAATGTATGCACCGAAATGTTAGTACCTAAATGTATGCACTGAAATGTATTATAATGAATTTAATGTACCTCAATGAAGAAGACAATGTACATCGAAATATATTGTATAACAAAAATTAGTTTATCTAAATGTTTACAACAAAATATATTACGATAAATGAAATGAAAATTATAAATGAAATAAAATTAATATATTAAAAATCAGAAAGAAAAAGAGAAATAATTAAAAAAAATCAAAATATAATTAATAAATGAGCTTATTAATATATCAAGGGACTAAAATTATATTTTGATCGTACTCATGGTTTTAATCTAAAAGTCATCTTTGCCAAGGATTAAAATGAAGTTTTCTATTCTTTTTTTATAGTATATGAAGCAGAATTTGCATTGTTTCTAAAGAACGTAGAGAATGAGGTAGATGAAGAATGAACCTTGATTACTTAGACAAGACATGAAAAAGAACAAAATTTGATTACCATGTCCAGACGTTGCAACGGAAAATCAAAGAGAAATGTTTAGTTCACACATCCATTAGCAGAAATTAAGATTAAAATAATTTACTCTGTTAAATAAAGTCGCTAGCTAGCTTTACAGAAGCCGATGAATTATAATTCAAGCAATGAATAAAATAAGAAAATATTTAGTAGAATATTTGAAACAAATTGTTTCTGGAACAAAACGGGACAACGAGGGAAAGCAATTCCTTCGGGTTGGATTTTACTTTCTTGCACGTTAATGTCAAAGTTTCGTCTCCAAATTTTAAATTAATATTAAAGGTCTCCAATTAAAATACAGAGATTAGTGAATAATTAAGCCTGAAATGACCAAATCTAATGTTGATTAACTCGTGTCCTAACCTGCATGGATGACCTACGACCTTGTCTACATTTTGGTGATGATTCCACTGAGCGATTAAACTGACGATAATTATCATGTTCTTTTGCAAAGATGCACTTTTTGGAAGCATCCACGATATTAACCACTGCATAACCAATCTCAAATCCTCAAAATTAGCTACAATTGAGCATAAGACGACAAAATGATAAACATATACAACACTATTAGAAGAATTGGTTTGGGGTTGTTATTATTATTTTTTTTTTTTTTGGTAGGAGTTATGCAGGCATGAAAAAAAAAAAAAAAATGTTGGCAGTGGAGAGAGAGAGTCTCTGTGTGTGTTTAGAGAATCATGATTGGGTGACATGGCCGAGATTTAGGATATTAAAACAAACAGTTGTTTGTTCAAAATTACTTCAATGCCTACATTTCTTTCTTTTCTTACAAATTTTTTTCAGTTATATATCAAAGATTATAATTATAATTTCATTAGTTTTGGGTTGATAAAGTGAGTACTATTAATATGTGGTCTAGATGGTGCTAAATTACAAAATAACCAACACATATATCTGAAAACGAAAAATAATTGTTAACTTTGATACATTATATTTTTAACTGGATTGTGTTTATTTTCCTAGATAATCTTTTTCATGAGATATAAAAATATGTGGGATTGTTTCTACTACGTGTTACTACATGATAAGATGTGTTTGGAAAATGAAAATCATCATCGAGTATGCATGTATGTTTTGAACTGGTTCGGATAAAAAGAAAAATAATTCAAAAATTAGACTCACAGGCACACATCTTAACTAGAATTATTAAAACTCACAAGAAAAAGACAACGAGATCAGCCTAAGAGCACCCTATTGCTCCATCAATTACTTGAAATGAAAGAATGAAAGTGAGATGACGCATCCAACGGTGGATAGGACTAAATGGGCCCCACAGAAGAAAAGGTCATGGGATGCTTCGAGCCCTTCCTCATCGAACCTCAGCATGAAGGTCGTCTCCTTTTTGTCCACCCTCGGCCACTTGTATATAATATATATCCCCACGCCCTCCCCATCTTCCATTCCACTCCCAAATCTCCACTCTCTGCAAAATATTCAAAACCTCTCTCTCTCTCTCTCTCCTCCCTCCCTTTTTCTCTCTCTACAACTCTCTTAGAGCTCAGAGATTGATAGGAAAAATAGATACTTGCTAAAAAAATTGTTATCAATGGCTTTAGATCAGGTCTCGGCGCTCGAGCTCATCAAACACCATCTTCTCGGAGAGTTCTCGCCGGTGAAGAGCTGCGCCACCGAGCCCAGTGACCCCGGTTCCAGCTTCACCCAAAACCAGTGGAGTCCAGAGGACAATTCTGACCTCTCCAGGTCCCAATCCGAGTCGTTTTGCTCCAAATCATCTTCCACTTTCGACTCCTCCATCGAAATCTTCGATTACTTGGACTCCAGTGACATCTTCGAGTTTAACTCCGCCGGTTTCTTTGACTTCGAAGAAAAACCCCAAGCAATTGACCTCACAACTCCTAAATCCACAAATTTGAGTTCGCAAAACTCGTTCGAGTTCGATTCAAAGCCTCTAGTCAGCGACGATTACTTTGAATTTGAGCAAAAGCCTCAAATTCTGAAGCAAACGGATCCGAAACCCGCCAACTCGATCCGAAAGCCTGCGCTCACAATCTCGCTCCCGAATAAAACAGAGTGGATCCAGTTCGCGAGCTCGGACCAGGCGGCCGTGAAGCCGGCGACGGTTCAGAAAGCGAGTTCGAACGAAGAGAAGAAGAAGAACTACCGGGGAGTCCGACAAAGGCCGTGGGGCAAGTACGCGGCGGAGATCCGGGACCCGAACCGCAGAGGCTCCCGGGTCTGGCTGGGGACCTTCGACACGGCGATAGAGGCAGCAAGGGCATACGATCGAGCGGCGTTCAAGCTCCGCGGCGCCAAATCGATCCTCAACTTCCCGCTCGAAGCTGGTAAGGCCGAGCCGGTCGCGTCCGTGGAGAGAAAACGACGTCGTCAGGAACACAGAGAAGATGCGAAGGCGGTGGTGGCTGTAAAGAAGGAGAAGTTGACGGAAACTCCATTGACGCCGTCAAGTTGGATGGCGTTCTGGAAATCGTAGAAGGAGGACGTGAAAGGAGTTTTTAACGTGCCTCCATTGTCGCCGTTATATCCTCATCCAGCCGTGGGTTGTCCACAGCTTATGGTCGTATGAGGGATTTAACGTTGGTGTGTGATAAGAAATTAGAAGCTGGTTTTTTATTTTTATTTTTTTGAATTGACTAGGAAAAAAGAAAGTATATAATTGATGATATAGGTGCGTGAGATTTTCCGACAACGGAGACGGCAGTTGTTTGAATAAATCTTGATCTGGTGGGACAGTGGGTGTGATGATTGATTTGATATGTTCTTGTCACTTCTGTTTACTTGAATTTTATTGGGTTGAACATTTGAGCTTCTCGTAAATAATTTTATTTAAGGCTCCACTTTAAACAAATTTACGCATAATAACTTCCATCCAAAACTTTCTTATCAAAATACCATGAAAAGAAAAGTTAGCATGTTTGCTACTCTCTTTGAATCTAATTTATCTGTGAGTTACTTTTTTTTTTTGGTCAAATTTTATCTGTGAGTTACTTAACACCCAATGGTTTTTTAAACAAAAAATTGGATAAAAAAGGATATCAATTATTTCCATATTTCAGCGTTTCATTCATTTTTTTCAATAATATATACATGTCTTTTAGTATTACTGTCTCGTGGTATTCCTCTTCACTTGTAAGTGAGAGGCTGTAGGTTCGATTCTCACCAAAAATGAAGTTGAACCACATTATTATGACATCCTATTGTAAGGCTTTACCATTTCCACCACCCCTTGATGTAGATACTATTGTTTGTTAAATACACACACGCACATTTTTTTTTTCTTTCAAAAATTCGTAAAGAAAATCAAGTAAATACTTCTGAGGGTGATGTGGGCATGCCAATGTGCTACTGAGCTCGACCAAGCGAATACTTATGAGGGTGATGGTGGTATGATGGAATCTGCTTCTGACTTTTGACTCCTGCAATTCGCTACAAAGTTTTGGGTTTGTACACTGGGTTTAGCAGCATCAACTATATTAGTGAGAATGTAGGACACCAAGTTGGAATTAAACTGTAGGGACAGAGATACTCAAAGAAGATGAGCGTCTTTTGTGGTAAAAGTGGTTCGGCCATCAATATGCTAAACTTTGAATGTCACAAGGGAATAACCGATAATAGAACCCTCCACTTCATTGAGAAAACTAAGGAAGTGGTCTCGTTTTGCAAAAGAATCAAAGATTATTCGCTGGCAGAGACTTGGGATAGATGACTAGTCAAAAAAAAAAAAAAAAAAAACAAAGAGAACTTGTTGTTTAACCAAACTATCAAAACGCCTAAGCCAAGTTGATTTTGCAATTCTAGTGTTGTTTAACCAAATGTCAACTTCGTTGGTTGCCTCCGGAAAACTCTATTTAACCAAATTGAATATGTGATGGCTTGTTCGTGGAGCAATTATTATTCTTCTTGATGGTTGAGAGGGTTTGTGTAGAACGTTGATTTGTGTGGTGAGTTGAAGGTTCCTTTCTACGTTGCAAAACCTCATCATATTTATAGGGATGAATTTTTTGGTGGCCAAGTTTGCCTAGTAGTAGACTCCCACTAAGACTGTGGCTCTTCAGCAAGCACCTGGATATTCTTGACACTTATCTCATCAGACCTTTCTTATGCCAAAACTCTTTCTACCAAGTTTTGACCTCTTCGACCTGAACTAGGATTATGAACCCAATCTCCTTGTGTATTCTATTCATTCCTCATCTGAGTAGCCACATGCCTTGATCCGTAGAATAATTCAAATCTTGTTAAAATCCATCCTGATCCTTCAATAATCCCACATCCTTCAGGACTCAACCGAACCATCATTTAAATCTGACCCCTTAGCAATCCTAATCCACCAGGACTCCAGCAAATTGTTAACGTCTTACTACGAGGGTGAATACCAACTGGGCTAAATATTCACCATTGGACCAAGATTTGCATCTTTATTTCCTTTTATTCCTTCTCCACCCAAAATCCTAAATTTCATGCCTGAACGGTATTAATGGTGAGAAGTATATTCTTATATTTCATTTGATTTCTAAAAACGTGTACTTCAGTAAATCATCAAGAAATGTATGAAAAATGGAAATATTACTCCAACACTTTCTCTTCGACTACAAACAATTTTTTATTTTTTTTTCTAAGAAAAAGTCTCGTTGAAAATATTATTACATAATTGCTTTAAGAATTTAACATAATTACAGTCATCGTTATTTAAATGTCACACTTCTAACATTAATATATTAATAAAAACAAATATACGTGTTATAATTTGAATAAACTTGTAACACCACGTGACGATATTCTAATTGCACCAGAAGATTGCTCTCCAAAACTCTACCAAGTTGACCAACATTCGTTTTATTCAGTTATGGAATTTACAAGTAGAATGGTATAGTTGGAAGAAACTGAAACAACAATTTTTTTTTTTTATCAATATATATATATATATATATATATTTGATTTTTGAGGTAACTGATATTCTGTTTATGTAAATAGACTGTACTGTATTTATTTATTTATTTTTTTACAACTGATAAAATAATTTACTTTAACCTCATCTAAACTATAAGGAGAAAGATTAGAATACGTAACATCAGGTGCAAAGACAAATACTGTTAGATTAGTATTGTGCTTGATAGAGTAAACTACACTTACACCAATAAGATTTTCGCTTTCTATACGGGCCAACTAGATTTCCTCCATTTCCTCAAGGAATCTCAATGCTATATTACTGTGAAATTTTTTATTTTTAATAAGGAAAGGGATGAGTTGATTACACCTGATTACGCATAAGATATTAGTAAAATAATGTCATCTATAAGTACGTGTCAATGTTTAAATAGAACACTCTAGAATAGTCGTTTTCACGCAATGAAAATCTTAAGTTAATTAAGAATTTTAAGATAGATGCAAGTTGTAACTCCATTATTTTTTTTAATGCCATGCAAGAGTACTCTCTTTGTTATTTATTTACATTTTCGAAAGATAAATTTATTGAATCAAACTCATAAACAAATGCTTACATTAACGTATTGTATTTTGTAGGTCATCCATCCAAATACCAAACATACATATGAAATGAAACTTATACAAACTTCCCGAACATAATGCATAAGTTGACAACGATAGAAATTAATTTGATTTCTTCTTGTTTTGAATAGTAGAATATTCACTGACAATTTGACCAGATTCTTACAAAGAGATATCTAGAGTACATTAGGGTGGCCTCGTTGTCGAAAGAAAAAGAGTACCACCGCACCAATAAATTATATATTGATAGTATTTTTTAATTCTAAAAAGAAATCGTCAATTAAATTAAGAGATTCTTCAAATCATACCATTCTCTCGATCCAACAAGTCATAGCGTGCAAGCCAATGTGCAACTGCACAAGTAACATATCAGAACACCAAACCTCAATTCATGACTTTTAGAATTCTTGATGTTTTTAGTCCTTCCAATAATTAGCTTCATAATGTAATGTGAGGAATATGATTTTTTCCCTTCAAATCTTCTTCTCGTTTGATCTCTTCTTATTTATGTTAATATTATTTAATCACAACCTAATGAGAAGAAATTGCGTTTAGCCGTCCTTTTCCTATAATAACTACTTTCATGTGATGCTTCAACTACAAAAATTAAGAGCTCATGTGGCATGTCTATGAAGTCAATAAATCTATACAGGCCGCCACTCAATAGACTTGGAAATTGTCCTTATGTTTTTATGTTCTGGAAGAAAAAAAAGAAGACATACAAAGTCAAGAATTAATAATCATTTTCATATTAGAAAAGGCTTTTCGTAAGGTTTTGTGTTGTAATCTTTAATTTGGTAATTACCATCTTTACAATGCAGGTTTCGATATTAGTTAGAGAGGTTAGGATATTTAAACCCTCATTTTTTTAGAGATACGGCCGATGTGAGATATGTCACCATCGTCGAATTTCAGATCCCACATATATCACATTAATAGAAGATTCGTATCCATGACATATTCATAGTAATTTTTATCAGATCAACGTTATGAGAATTTCCGTTTAATTTTTATCAGACTTGAACATTACACTACTAGCTAGTTGTAATTCAAACTATTCATAATTATCTTGGCATGAGAGACGGTGATTAGTATTACTCAACGATTTACCTAAATGAATATTAAGGTTAAAAAAAGCGTTAAATGGTAGTTAGGTGATGGACAAAGGTCTAGCGCCCAGACATATAGGCGAGGCCAAGGCTTTTTTTTTTTTTTTCCCTATTAATTTTAATTAAATTATTATATAACATATAAATTAAATGTCTACTTATACTTTAAAAAAATATATACTTGTATTGAGTTACATAAATAGCAAAATAAGATGACATATAAATTACAGAGTACTTTAAAAAAATATATACTTGTATTCTACTTAGTACAATAATTTACGTGATACTCTAAATAAGAAAAAAAACTCTAGATCATAATAAGTATTTATTTTTTAGCTCCCCTGTTGACAAACTTGCATCCACATATATATAGTAATAATTATATTTTTTTTAGAATTGATACCACGTCTCTAATTTTACCGTAATAACTCATCAAAATAGAAACCTTGTTGTTGAAGCTAAAATATTTCTAGCTTAAAGCATGCATATTTGCAATCTCAACATAAAACAAGACGGTCTCATGCATGTAGCAACAAGCTAGAAATATTTTAGGTAATAACCTCCCTATAATTAGGAAATAACCTCCCTATAATAATAATTAATTTAATTCTAATATTATAAGTATCTAGAAGTTCTACTGTATTAGTTTTTCGGTTCATGTTTGACGTCGTATGCCAACAATTAATACATGTTCTTGGTCTACTATCTTTGTCCTGTTGTCACGCAAACCGTCACCACTGTGCTTCCAACACCTGGGAGGTTTACTTTTCCGTCAAATTTTGAAACAGTATATTAAGATAACATTCTGACCATTCAAACAATTACGCTCGTGGGTGTTACGGTTGACTTCAAACATACAGGTTTGATTGTTGGAAGTGTCACCGTGACACTTTTTGGCATGTGAGCCCGGCTTTGACTGCAAAAACGAAGTTCAAAGCTTAAGATAAATCCAATCATACAGAGCTTCATACGGTAACAAGACAGTGACGGTCTTCACGCAACAATTTATTCGCTAACTTCACTCTTACTATATTTGGACTGCAACTTTTCAACCAAAGCAGTTGGCCATGGATCATGGAGATGGAGTCGTCGTGTTGAATAATATAAGTGGTGATAC